ATGTGCACTCACCGCTGAAATTTATATCCTTGCCTCAAACGTATTATCGTGTTTCCTAAAAATAACAAGTTTGGCTAAAAAAAAAATGTTTCCCCTCAAAATCAACTAATTCCCCCACAAAATCTACAAATTTCCCCCACAAAATCAACTAATTTCCCCACAAAATCAACTAATTTCCCCACAAATCAACTAATTTCCCCACAAAATCAACAAATTTCCCTACAAAATCAACAAATTTCCCAACAAAATCAACTAATTTCCCCACACAAAATCAACTAATTTCCCCACAAAATCAACTAATTTCCCCACAAATCAACTAATTTCCCCACAAAATCAACAAATTTCCCTACAAAATCAACAAATTTCCCAACAAAATCAACTAATTTCCCCACACAAAATCAACTAATTTCCCAACAAAATCAACTAATTTCCCCACACAAAATCAACTAATTTCCCCACAAATCAACTAATTTCCCCACAAAATCAACAAATTTCCCAACAAAATCAACTAATTTCCCAACAAAATCAACTAATTTCCCCACACAAAATCAACTAATTTCCCAACAAAATCAACTAATTTCCCCACACAAAATCAACTAATTTCCCCACAAATCAACTAATTTCCCCACAAAATCAACTAATTTCCCCACAAATCAACTAATTTCCCAACAAAATCAACTAATTCCCCAACAAAATCTACAAATTTCCCCCACAAAATCAACAAATTTCCCTACAAAATCAACTAATTTCCCCACAAAATCAACTAATTTCCCCACAAAATCAACAAATTTCCCCACAAAAAAACCAAGCGATATATTCACCGAGTGATGTACCCCGTTTCACGGTGTATATACACTGAGAGCTTTCTTTGTACCTTGCATTATGTTCAGGACAAAGGTACACTTGGTGTATCTTTGGTACCTTTGTTACCTTTGGTGTACCTTTGTTACCTTTGGTACATTTGTTACCTTTGGTGTACCTTTGTTACCTTTGGTACCTTTGTTACCTTTGGTGTACCTTTGGTACCTTTGGTGTACCTTGGTGTACCTTTGGTCGTGTTGTCAATAAACTCTTGTTGTGACTTTAATAACCCTCTCGCGGTTGATAGGCCTTTAAGAAAAGGATTTCTTAAAGTTATATAAAATTTCGGGAAAATCCGACTAAAATATAATAATATATAGTTATTTTATGCATGTGCGATAGTCCTCTTCGCAAATGGCGGCATTAAAGTCATCAGAAGTAATAAGGAAATCTTCGCAATTAAAGATTGTGAAAACAGATTAAAGAAATTAAAGAAAATTAAAGAAATTAAAGAAACAATCTGAAATTAAAGCTTGTGACTATAAACCTAATTTATAGTCACCTTTAACTCTAAATAATGTTAAAGGCAAATAAGTAGACTCTGCTCTTGACCGAATTACTTTCACGGCGGCTAAATGGCGAAATAGTAACAACGGTAATAAAATCATTAACTAAAGGAGGAAAAAATACTATTTTATTATGAAATTTGCAACAAGCAGGCACGCTAGACACCTTTTTTTTTAGATACATTGGCACTAATGGCGTTGTTATTATAAATTCAGCTACTCGGAACAAAGTTGCAAGTAGCACGGGCTATGGTGAGCCCGTAACTTATCTGGCACAGGAGCGGGGCAAGTAGCGCGGGCTAGGTGAGCCCGTAGTGAACTTACCTGGCACAGGAGCGGGGCAAGTAGCACGGGCTATAGTGAGCCTGTAGTGGACTTACCTGGCACAGGAGCGGGGCAAGTAGCGCGGGCTATGGTGAGCCCGTAGTGGACTTACCTGGCACAGGAGCGGGGCAAGTAGCGCGGGCTATAGTGAGCCTGTAGTGGACTTACCTGGCACAGGAGCGGGGCAAGTAGCACGGGCTATAGTGAGCCTGTAGTGGACTTACTTGGCACAGGAGCGGGGCAAGTAGCACGGGCTATAGTGAGCCTGTAGTGGACTTACCTGGCACAGGAGCGGGGCAAGTAGCGCGGGCTATGGTGAGCCCGTAACTTATCTGGCACAGCAGCGGGGCAAGTAGCACGGGCTATGGTGAGCCCGTAGTGGACTTACCTGGCACAGGAGCGGGGCAAGTAGCACGGGCTATGGTGAGCCCGTAGTGGACTTACCTGGCACAGAAGCGGGGCAAGTAGCACGGGCTATGGTGAGCCCGTAACTTATCTGGCACAGCAGCGGGGTAAGTAGCATGGGCTATGGTGAGCCCGTAGTGGACTTACCTGGCACAGAAGCGGGGCAAGTAGCACGGGCCTATGGTGGGCCCGTAACTTATCTGGCACAGCAGCGGGGCAAGTAGCACGGGCTATGGTGAGCCCGTAGTGGACTTACCTGGCACAAGAACGGTACGGCGTGTCTAGGCGAGTATTTAACCCACACTATACCTGAAACATTACTTTTAACACGCATTAACAAAACACTTCCAGTAAGTACTAACACACTTTAGTGAAAGGTCGCGAGATGTCACTCAATGTTGACATCTTAAAGCGCTGAGTACCAAGATTCAGCGTTGTCTGAGAACGCAGAACGCTATATTTAGCGTTCTCCGGAGGCTGTCCCGCTAGATAGGAGGAGTCTGACCAGGGGAGAGTCAGCACACACAAAAGGGAAGGAGAGAATGAGCGGTGCGGACGACCGAGTCTCTCCTCCACCTTCCAGCTGCGTCTCTGTAACTCTGGTAAACTTGGCTGTGTCTTAGAGAAGTAATTTGAATATGACAACGTGGCCAGGTGACGGCCAGGTGACGGGAGTAGGTCCCACAGAGGAGAGGAGACGGGCCAGGTGACGGGAGGAGGTCCCACAGAGGAGGGGAGACGGGCCAGGTGACGGGAGTAGGTCCCACAGAGGAGGGGAGACGGGCCAGGTGACGGGAGTAGGTCCCACAGAGGAGGGGAGACGGGCCAGGTGACGGGAGTAGGTCCCACAGAGGAGGGGAGACGGGCCAGGTGACAGGAGTAGGTCCCACAGAGGAGGGGAGACGGGCCAGGTGACAGGAGTTGGTCCCACAGAGGAGGGGAGACGGGCCAGGTGACGGGAGGAGGTCCCACAGAGGAGGGGAGACGGGACAGGTGACAGCAGTAGGTCCCACAGAGGAGGGGAGACGGGCCAGGTGACAGCAGTAGGTCCCACAGAGGAGGGGAGACGGGTCAGGTGACAGCAGTAGGTCCCACAGAGGAGGGGAGACGGGCCAGGTGACAGCAGTAGGTCCCACAGAGGAGGGGAGACGGGTCAGGTGACAGCAGTAGGTCCCACAGAGGAGGGGAGACGGGACAGGTGACAGCAGTAGGTCCCACAGAGGAGGGGAGACGGGACAGGTGACAGCAGTAGGTCCCACAGAGGAGGGGAGACGGGCCAGGTGACGGGAGTAGGTCCCACAGAGGAGGGGAGACGGGCCAGGTGACAGCAGTAGGTCCCACGGAGGAGGGGAGACGGGACAGGTGACAGCAGTAGGTCCCACAGAGGAGGGGAGACGGGCCAGGTGACGGGAGTAGGTCCCACAGAGGAGGGGAGACGGGCCAGGTGACAGCAGTAGGTCCCACAGAGGAGGGGAGACGGGCCAGGTGACGGGAGTAGGTCCCACAGAGGAGGGAGACGGGCCAGGTGACAGCAGTAGGTCCCACAGAGGAGGGGAGACGGGCCAGGTGACGGGAGTAGGTCCCACAGAGGAGAGGAGACGGGCCAGGTGACAGCAGTAGGTCCCACAGAGGAGGGGAGACGGGCCAGGTGACAGGAGTAGGTCCCACAGAGGAAATGTTATTTAATAAATATACAAAACTCCAAATAACCTCACATTATCAAAATAAATATTGTATAGGCTCAGTTTTTTTTATAGAAAAGGCAAAAGACAAATGTGCGTATAACCTTTGGAAAGGTTAAATAATCCGTCTGTGTTGACGGGGACGTGTTGACGGGGACGTGTTGACGGGGACGTGTTGACGGGGACGTGTTGACGGGGACGTGTTGACGGGGACGCTCCAGAGACGGTATTTGAATGACGGAGTACCGCAGAGGTCCTGGAAATGTACCAACTATGGACAACATACAATGACTCAACTAGCTTCTGTTAATGTAGATAAATCATTTTGTCGGGGTTTCCGTCGTTCTACCGTCCAGTTCAAGTGGACGGTACAGCGACGGTCTCGCTTCTTGCAGGTCGGCGTTCAATCCCCAACTGTCCAAGTGCTTGGCCACTATTCCTTCCCTCCGTCCTATCCCAAATCCTTATCCTCATATCCCTTCGAAGTGCTATATAGTCGTAATAGTTTGGTGCTTTCTCCTGATAATTACCTTACCTTTGTCGGGGACAGAATGCCTGTGTATATATATACTTTTGGCTTGTATCGAGGTGTCTGTAGGTCGAACCACTCACTCTCCCATGGACACAATTAGGTACTCACAAGTACCTATTTACTGCTAGGTCAATAGAAGCACTAGGTGAAAGGAAACGAGCCAAACCATTTTTTTTACCACACTGGGAAATGAAGTTGAGATCCCCGATTGTAAATCAGGGGCCAGATTCACGAAAGCACTTACGAACGTGTACATCTTTCCACAATCTTTGACGGCTTTGGTTACATTTATTAAACAGTTTACAAGCATGAAAACTTCCCATTCAACTGTTGTTATTGTTATAAACAGCCTCCTGGTGCTTCGGAGCTCATTAACTGTTAAATAATTGTAAACAAAGCCGCCAAAGATTGAGAAAAGATGTATAGGTTCGTAAGTGCTGGCGTAAGTGCTTTCGTGAATCTGGCCCCAAGAACGAAGCCAGCTGTACTACAAGACCTCTCTAGTCTTATCTCCTCGAAGTCTCTTCATCCATCTTATCCCATGGAAAAGAAACTTCAACATTGGTTGTGTCTCGGGTTTAGCCTGTATAAAAGTCTAGATCTTCGTAACTAACCATGTTGATATTGACTTTGTTAATTACTGACAATATTAAAGTTCATACAAACGCACAGGAGAATAAAGAGCATTTATGTATCTTTAAAACATCTATTTTCTAAAGCAAATCACTACAATTTACTACCACATTGTGGGACATTTCCTGAAATTATTATTAATGTGTTGGAGCGGCGTCGACAGTCCCGTACTCTTCTCTCTGGGGCAGCCGGCGTCACCACGGGTTGTCTTCAGTGTGTGACGGGGAGGAAGAACTTGTGTTAGCCGGCCTGGTGATGGCGGGCCTGGTGATGGCGGGCCTGGTGATGGCGGGCCTGGTGTTAGCCGGCCTGGTGTTAGCCGGCCTGGTGTTAGTCGGCCTGGTGTTAGCCGGCCTGGTGTTAGCCGGCCTGGTGTTAGCCGGCCTGGTGTTAGCCGGCCTGGTGTTAGCCGGCTTGGTGTTAGCCGGTCTGGTGTTAGCTGGGCGGGATGAGGTAAAGGACTGATGCTAACAAGTTTACCAGAGGAGCGATGGCACATAGGAGTCGCGCAGACAGTTTTGCTGAAGAAAGGCGACATTGACGTCTTCGACGTACTCACCATTGTCGTAGCACCAGGCGCCCTTCGCCAGCGTGTTCATATAATCGTCATTCTCCACCAGCCACAGAATGTTACACTGGCAGGTCAGGAAGTTTTCTGGAGAGGAAAAACATTTGCAACCATTACTAAGCAATCTGTACACGAGAGTAATTTGTATCTGCACATCTCATGAGTATATCTGGTCAGTATATTTAGCGAGTGCAGCGGGTGAGTATACCCGGAGAGCTGTCTTTGATATATCTCACCATCGAACACGAAGAGGTTGAGATCGGGGTCGGCATTGACAGAGTCGAACACCGGTCTCCATGCTGATTCCGGAGTGTCATCCAGGCGGTTGCGATGTATCCACAGGAACGTTCCCGCCTTCAGTCCTGCCCGGGAAAATATGTCCTTACGAACGTAGTATTCAGTAGAGTATAGCATGAAGGAAACTATGAGGGATGACGAATAGTAAGAAGGAGACTAAGAGGATGGAATATAACATGATGGAGGCTAAGGAGAGTGAACAACGCGGCCTCAGGAGCCTATTACTAACGAAACTATTGTGAGGAAGGAATACAATGAATAACATGATATAAGAAGAACTGGAAAAAGAGATACGAGAGTGACATGAATGTCTATACAGTTCTTAATATCATTAGAGGATCTAAAATAAAATTCCGCTAACTGATTGAAATCCAATACCTTTTCAATAAGATTCCAGCATCTTCAGTTTGATTCCAGTATCATGAATTAGGGTCCAGTAGCTTTAGTAATATTCAAGAATCTTATAAAAAAAATCAAGTAACTTCAGTAAGATATTAGTAGTTTTAATAACATTTCAATAGCTTTAACTACCGAACATTCCACAATCTTAAATAAGATTAAAGAATATGAAATATAATATCAGTAGCTTCAGTCAAATTCCAGCGGCTCAAGGAGGGTTTCAATTACTTTTATAAGACTCAAATGCCCCACTCTGTAAAACACATTGATTAAAGAGATCTACTTTTTTATTAACACATCGTAACTTTCTTAGGAAGGGGGGTGGGGGTGGAAAAGGTTAGTAACGTAATTGAATAAAGGAGTTAATAAGTAATAGTAATGTCTTCTCACAAACATAATAACATAGGATATGCTGGCGATGAGTCACAATAACGTGGCTGAAGAATGTTGACCAGACCACACACTAGAAGGTGAAGGGACGACGACGTTTCGGTCCGTCCTGGACCATTCTCAAGTTCATTCTCACAATCGACTTGAGAATGGTCCAGGACGGACCGAAACGTCGTCGTCCCTTCACCTTCTAGTGTGTGGTCTGGTCAACAACTATAGGATAAAAACCCACACACATGTATTTGTGAATTTTATGTAAAGATTTACACCAAGTCTTTCGCACTCTCCAGAGTTCTTTGTCAAAGTCTGAGTCAAGAAGGATAAGAGGATTTGACAGAGGGTAGCAGCCTTATAAGACGTTGAGACGTGTCTTGTCTTACCCAACACTCAGACCTTGACAAAACACCCAAGAGAGTGGGGGAAAACTTTGTACACATTTTTACTTAAAATTCACACATACATAAGTGTGGCTATCTTAAAAGAGTTAATAATTACCGACACGAGGTAGGAAACAAAGAAGTTAGGGACTTGTGCAGGCGAGGAGTCACAATAACGTGGCTGAAGTATGTTGACCAGACCACACACTAGAAGTTGAAGGGACGACGACGTTTCGGTCCGTCCTGGACCATTCTTAAGTCGATTGTGAATGGTCCAGGACGGACCGAAACGTCGTCGTTCCTTCAACTTCTAGTGTTAGGGACTTACCTGATATTGCGTTGTCTTGGACAGACCCTATTCGGTTGGATTCGAGTTTAAGTTGATCGAGGGTCTCGTAGAACGTAAATGCACCAGAATAGAGAGTGTGAATTAAGTTATGGCCGAGGTCAAGATATTTCAAAGCTTTCTGGTTGATGAATGTGTCTTCTGCCACGTGATCGAGACCAATGTCGTTCAGTATGAGATACTCCAAGGCCGGGGCGTCCTCGAAGGCCGCGTCTCCAAACTTCATGTTAGGGTTATACGAGGCCTGTAGGTACGTCAGGCTGTCCGAGTGGATGTCTGCCATGTGGGTGATCTTGTTCCTGAAGACTCGGAGGTCCGTCAGTTTTGGACAGTCTGCCAGCATGTCAAACGGGAACGTGGTCAGGTAGCCGTCTGTGACGATCACGGTCTCCAGACGGGCGTATGAGTTCAGAAAAGCGTCAGACGTAATATCATTTAGAGTTGTATGACTGATACGAATGTAGGAAAAAGTGACGTTTGCGAAGGTATCTACAGTGAGCCTAGTGATAGGAACTCGCGCCTCTGTAGTGTTCTTAACAATAGTTAGTCTTCGGTACGTTTCAAAAGGATCATTGCGGAAGGCTTCATAGAGCTGAGTATCACTCTGCACTGCCGAACAGTCCATATCAATATGAATATCTGTTTCAGTACAGATGCAGGGAGCAATGGCTGCTGGATCTGGACACGGCCAAGCGTTGGTTAGAGCAGCACAGGCCAGGAGGCTGGCGGCCACCAGCACCGTCTTGAGGACCATCATGCAGGGACGAGGGAGGAGAGGCGATTACTGGACACTGAACTAGAAAATAGTTCCCACTTAGCGGTGCACTTGGTGATAAAGGGACGCACCATTGCCAGAAACCAGCTGCCAAGTTATTTACACTTTTTAGTGAACTGGATTTGTTCCTTATGTTTTGCCAGTTACTGTAATCACTATTAGTGTATTTGATAGTGTAAAAATCATATTTCATCTCACGGCGCTGATTCCTCACACGCGACTCCTAAATGTAATGGTACTTTAATTTCGTTGCGGAGTGAGGTTGTGAAGTAGGCAGCAGGTGAATGTGGGTGAGAGACTCCCACAAGACTGCCATGATGGATGCCTCCTACCTCTCTCCCTCTCTCCCTCACTATCCCCCGTACTCCATGTACGGATCTAGATCTGTACTCTACCCCCTCCCTCCCTATTTCGTCTTCTGCTCACTCCCTACAGTTGATGTCTCCATCGTTCTGCTTCTTCCTTCCTTCCCCCTCTGCCTCTCTCAGTTTTTATTTGCGCAGTGCGTACGCCTTCTGACTTCTAGCAGCAGACAGTTGACTTATGGTAAGCCTTATTTCTGTTGGTTCTCCCTGGAACACGACCCGACAGTTTGTTTTATTTCCAGGTCTTTAATTACTGCTGGCGAACTGAGGCGAACAAGTATGGATTGGTTCCCAGTCAAAAATTCCCCAGGTTTTATCGCAATGTGTACTCACCTAATTGTGCTTGCGGGGGTTGAGCTCTGGCTCTTTGGTCCCGCCTCTCAACCGTCAATCAACTGGTGTACAGATTCCTGAGCCTATTGGGCTCTATCATATCTACATTTGAAACTGTGTATGGAGTCAGCCTCCACCACATCACTTCCTAATGCATTCCATTTACTAACTACTCTGACACTGAAAAAGTTCTTTCTAACGTCTCTGTGGCTCATTTGGGTACTCAGCTTCCACCTGTGTCCCCTTGTTCGCGTCCCACCAGTGTTGAATAGTTCATCCTTGTTTACCCGGTCGATTCCCCTGAGGATTTTGTAGGTTGTGATCATGTCCCCCCTTACTCTTCTGTCTTCCAGTGTCGTAAGGTGCATTTCCCGCAGCCTTTCCTCATAACTCATGCCTCATGTGTGTGTGTGTGTGTGTGTGTGTGTGTGTGTGTGTGTGTGTGTGTGTGTGTGTGTGTGTGTGTGTGTGTGTGTGTGTGTGTGCGTGTGTGTGTGTGTGTGTGTGTGTGTGTGTGTGTGTGTGTGTGTGTGTGTGTGTGTGTGTGTGTGTGTGTGTATCTAACTACTAAGGCCAACTACTGACCATTTCCAGGATGCAGTCCCCAGAAACTGAATCCAAGGTATATATTTACTACTAGGTGAACAGAGCATGAGGTGAAAGGAAACACTACCAAATTATTTGAGCTCCGTCTCGGATTCGAACCCGGGACTTACAGCATTAACCACAGAGCTCCCCCCCCCCTGTCCCTCTGTCCCTCTCCACCCACTTCCCCTCCGTTTATAAACAGGACCAAGTATTTGCGGGCTATTCATGCCCCTGCCACCTCTAGGGTGGCTTAATCTTTATCAATCAATCATCAACCAAGTATAGACTTTTGCAAAAAAACAAAAAACAGACGACGCTCTATTCTGAACATTATTTTGTCTGTAGCCAAAACGCTTTCAATGCATTTTATTTTTTCCAGACTTATGTGTGCAAGAGCCATAGCCGTTTCTCCTGACCAATGTCGTCTGGCGTCGCCAACACATGGGGCACCTGATGGGGTATAATTGGGTCGTTTTCGGTCAACACAAATAGTTAGGGTGTTAGAAACTTGTCTTACTGAAGGTGACGATCAAGTTCCTTCTACAAACATGTCAACAGAAGACTTTTTTGTTGTTAATCAGGGCATTATTCTATCGTATTCTATAGAGCTCACAGGTTTTCTGTTAGGCACTATCATGTGTTCTCGCGCTTGATATACTGTACCTAGCTGTACTGTACCTAGCTGTACTGTACCTAGCTGTACCCCATCTAGCTGGACTGTACCTTGTTGTACTGTACCTAGCTGTACTGTACCTAGCTGTACCCCATCTAGCTGTACTGTACCTAGCTGTACTGTACCTAGCTGTACTGTACCTGGCTGTACTGTACCTGGCTGTACTGTACCTAGCTGTACCCCATCTAGCTGGACTGTACCTTGTTGTACTGTACCTAGCTGTACTGTACCTAGCTGTACCCCATCTAGCTGTACTGTACCTAGCTGTACTGTACCTAGCTGTACTGTACCTGGCTGTACTGTACCTGGCTGTACTGTACCTAGCTGTACCCCATCTAGCTGGACTGTACCTTGTTGTACTGTACCTAGCTGTACTGTACCTAGCTGTACCCCATCTAGCTGTACTGTACCTAGCTGTACTGTACCTAGCTGTACTGTACCTGGCTGTACTGTACCTGGCTGTACTGTACCTAGCTGTACCCCATCTAGCTGGACTGTACCTTGTTGTACTGTACCTAGCTGTACTGTACCTAGCTGTACCCCATCTAGCTGGATCGTACCTTACCTAGCAAGCCTATCCAGCGAGCATACATACCCCCCACTGCTTGGTATGTCTACCAATGTATCAATATTAGAGTATAGATAATAGAGATACGACTGGCTTGAAGGGTACGAGAATGAAGGTCATACTCGAAACATATACTCCGAGGCCGTGTCCGTATCTGTTAAGAATGAAGCAGCATAGCGTGGGGTGCTGGAGCATGGTGTTGGGAACACACTCTATAATGGAAAGGGTTGATATTGTGCTACAAAGAGGTGGTAAAGCACTGAAGAGTGTATAGTGTCAGGGGAAGGCGTGGCTGTTCTATGGAGAGAGGTAGGCGACGGGAAGGGAGAGGCGTGGTGGGAGAGGGAGAATGAACCATGGGATGACGTGAAGGAGGGAAGGCAGTGATGGTAGGAAGGGAAGGAGGAAGGGAAGGAAGAAGGAAGGAGGGAGGGAGGGGAGAGAGAACACGGGCCCCAACACACGTCGTAAGAGTCGCTCGTCGTACAAATAACTTCCAATTTCATTGTTTTTTCTCTCTAAACTTTTGCTATGAATGCATTACACACTGACTCTTCCTAGCTGTTGTGTGGTGGTGTGGTGTGGTGTGGTGGGTGTGGTGTGCTGGGTGTGGTGTGGTGTGGCAGTGTGGTGGTGTGGTAGTGTCGAGGTTATGGTGGGTTGAAGTGGAACTTATAATGTGGTAATATGGTTATTTTTGATTTGTGGGTTAATAGTACTATTATTGTGATCATTGTGGTAGAACAGTAATGATCTGAGGGGAGGAGAGAGAGAGAGAGAGAGAGAGAGAGAGAGAGAGAGAGAGAGAGAGAGAGAGAGAGAGAGAGAGAGAGAGAGAGAGAGAGAGAGAGAGAGACAGAGACAGAGACAGACACAGAGAGAGAGAGAGAGAGAGAGAGAGAGAGAGAGAGAGAGAGAGAGAGAGAGAGAGAGAGAGCAGTATTAAAGAATACACTCCCCCGTCTCTCTCTCTCTCCGGTATTCCAGGCAGTCATTAATTATGTTAAAGTGTGGAGGTTGATAATGGTATGCAAATAGGGCAGCATGTGGCTGGTCGAGACGTGAAGCTAATCAGGCATTATGATAATTATCCCTCATCAGCTATTATTAATTCAGCTTTATCTCCTCTCTGGCTAGCAAGGAGGATATGCACCAGCACCCACAGGAGGATATTGTGGTTGGTGGTGGTGGTGGTAGTGGTGGAGGTGAGTGGTTGTGGAAGACAGTGTTTGTGGTGGTGTGGTGAAGGAATGTGGTGGTTGTGGTGGAGGGTGGTTGTGGCTGATAGAGGTGGTGGAAGTGGATGGTACTGATTGTTGTGGAGGCTACGAGATTAACGACTATTGTGCTACCGTTGGTACTGAAACTGTCAACCTCTTGTCAGTTCTCACCTTATCAAGTCATTAGACTAAGGAAGGGTAACGAGGGAGGTCGTGTATAAAACAACAAAGAGTTTTATATATATTTTGGTATTAGTTATTATTATTATTATTATTATTATTATTATTATTATTATTATTATTATTATTAATTATGTGGTAAGGTAAGAATTGTGATTGTCGTAGAGAGCATCAGCGCATCTTGTCACGTAACTTTTATACTGTGTCAAGTGACTATAAAATAAGTCTTAAGTTCACAGGAGACTTAAGACTGTGCCAAGCCATTTGTGACAGATTTGTTCCGTCTATTCTGTCTGATTTTGCCAGTCCAGTAGGTCTTACGTTTTTGCTCGAGTCCTATAGTGACTAAGTTACCAAATTCTTTAAAGTTTTGCCCAGTCCTAAATACTTTAAGTTTGTCGAATCTAGCGAATTTGAAATTGTCAGTCCATAGTGACTTTGAAGTTTCTGGTCAAGTCCACAGTTTCTGACCAGTTTAACTAAGAAGTATTTTAAGAGTCTGGAGAGTAAAGCCGACGAGAGTTCTGAAAATGTATACTTTCGTACAGGTTCGTACCTGACGTGTTGGGTGACGGTGGGGAGGATTGGGGGAATACTGGGGATGCAGACGAGGAGTCACAATAACGTGGCTGAAATATGTTGACCAGACCACACACTAGAAAGTGAAGGGACGACGACAACGACGTTTCGGTCCGTCCTGGACCATTCTCAAGTCGATTGTAGTCGTCCCTTCACTTTCTAGTGTGTGGTTTGGTAAAAAATACTGGGGTTGTTGGGGCTGAGTATGGAGGAGGGTGTGTGGGGGAGAGGATGTGTGGGGGAGAGGGTGTGTGGGGAAGAGGGTGTGTGGGGGAGAGGCTGTGGGGGAGGGGGAGAAGCTATCACTACTCAAGTTGAGAGGTGAGGGCGCTGGGAGACCTCACCTGTGGCCCAGTATATCCCTCTCACTTCCCAGAACTCCCGCTAAACAGATAAGGAGACGCGCTCTCAAGGCTCTGCTATCGGCCTCCAGATGGCGTTGTGCAAGTGCTATTCCCACACGATTATTTTCGGTAAGAGTCATATATCATCATTATTATTAATCTTGATTTATCAGTATTTTGGACATGAATGTCCGCGAATTTATTGCCAATGCTTACGCTCCGAATTTAAAGAAGAAATAAATGAGCATCAGAGAGCCACCTGAACTAATTATCAGGAGCCTGGAGGTACAGCAGGCCCTCCTGGTGAGACAGGAGGTACAGCAGGCCCTCCTGGTGAGACAGACGGTACAGCAGCCCCTCCTGGTGAGACAGGAGGTACAGCAGGCCCTCCTGGTGAGACAGGAGGTACAGCAGCCCCTCCTGGTGATACAGGAGGTACAGCAGGCCTTTCTGGTGATACAGGAGGTACAGCAGGCCCTCCTGGTGATACAGGAGGTACAGCAGGCCTTTCTGGTGATACAGGAGGTACAGCAGGCCCTTCTGGTGATACAGGAGGAACAGCAGGCCCTTCTGGTGATACAGGAGGTACAGCAGGCCCTCCTGGTGATACAGGAGGTACAGCAGGCCCTCCTGGTGATACAGGAGGTACAGCAGGCCCTCCTGGTGATACAGGAGGTACAGCAGGCCCTCCTGGTGATACAGGAGGTACAGCAGGCCCTTCTGCTGATACAGGAGGTACAGCAGGCCCTTCTGGTGAGACAGGAGGTACAGCAGGCCCTCCTGGTGATACAGGAGGTACAGCAGGCCCTCCTGGTGATACAGGAGGTACAGCAGGCCCTCCTGGTGATACAGGAGGTACAGCAGGCCCTCCTGGTGATACAGGAGGTACAGCAGGCCCTTCTGGTGAGACAGGAGGTACAGCAGGCCCTCCTGGTGAGACAGGAGGTACAGCAGGCCCTCCTGGTGAGACAGAAGGTACAGCAGGCCATCCTAGTGAGACAGGAAGGTACAGCAGGCCCTCCTAGCGAGACAGAAGCACCACTGATAACTCAGTACACGTTTAAAGAACAGCTGTTCGTGCATCAACATCTCCGTCACTGGCAGCTCTTTGTTTACATCAGAGGACGTGGTGAAGGCGCAGGCAGACAGAGAGAGAGAGAGAGAGAGGGGGAATTACTGCCTCTAAAGCGTGAACAGCACCCGGGGCCACATTCCCGCCGACTTAACGCCTGCAAAATAGAAACTGATACCACAATACCTGGGACAAGCGTAACAAATGTGGCTTGAACGACCGTTAGAGGCGCCGGCCAGGGTAATCAAATAGTTGTTTAGTCGTATGTTGAGCGCAAGCTATTGGATATTCACGAGGGAGGTAATGGCTGCTTCTCCAGCGTTAGTCTGAGCGTGGCTGATTGACCGGGAAATACAAACGCGGCTTTTTATGTTGAGCCGCTGCAAAGTGCAATTTGATGCGCTCCTCCTCCCAATATTCAAATAATTGAGCGGCAAAATGTTGTGCTGTGATCGCGGATTTCTTTTGGGGTCTTGTATCGTGGTCTATCACTCTCATCTTCTGTTCTGTCTACCATTATATATCTTTAATCGCTCCCTGATTGAAGTGTAATATATATATATATATATATATATATATATATATATATATATATATATATATATATATATATATATATATATTTCCCCAACACTCCCTTCTGCTTCGCACACTCTTCCCCGCCCCTCAAACACACACACACACGCACACACACACACACACACACACACACACACACACACACACACACACACACACACATATCACTCACCTAACCACCATTCGCCTGTATCCCAGCATGAAGCCTGTACCTTGTTAAGCACAAGACGAAGCTGGAAAAAGTTCAGAGGTATGCCACTAGACTAGTCCCAGAATTAAGAGGCATGAGTTACGAGGAAAGGCTGCGGGAAATTCATCTCACGACACTGGAAGACAGAAGAGTAAGGGGAGACATGATCACTACCTACAAAAATCTCAGGGGAATTGACAGGGTAGATAAGGATAAACTGTTTAACACGGGTGGTACGCGAACAAGGGGACACAGGTGGAAACTGAGTACCCAAATGAGCCAGAGGGACGTTAGAAAGATTTTTTTTTTCAGTGTCAGAGTAGCTAACAGGTGGAATGCATTAGGCAGTGATGTAGTGGAGGCTGACTCCATACACATTTTCAAATGTAGATATGATAGAGCCCAGTAGGCTCAGGAACCTGTACACCTGTTGATTGTCAGTTGAGAGGCGGAACCAAAGAGCCGAAGCTCAACCCCTGCTAGCACGATTAGGTGAGTACAATTAGGCGAGTACACACACTTCCCAACAAACCCTTTCTCCTACACACACACACACACACACACACACACATGCTCTCCTCTACACACACATGCTCTCCACTACAAACATGCTCTCTTCTACACACTCTCCCCCTCCCCACATGCACATTCCCCCAACACACACACACACCACATGCTCCCCCCCCCCACACGCACCCCCCCCCCACGCACCCCCCCCCCCACGCACCCCCCCCCACGCACCCCCCCCCCACATGCTCCTCACCACAGCGGCAGACCGAGACGTGAACAGAATAGAACCACTTAGAGCGTTTACCGGCCCACCGCCGAACCGTGAAATTGTTCCATAAATTGTACCATGAATTCCTACAATATATCGCCAAGCAAGTTATTACCCGCGGACCCTAAATTACCACACCACCGTAAAACATAGCCACACTTACACGGACACACTTACACATACACACTTACACGGACACATTTTACACGGACACACTTACATAAACACATTTACATCGACCCACTCATTTACACATGCATCCTTAAACATCCATGTTTGCAAGCAGCCACTTTTACAGCCACAGTTAGACACACAGCTACAGCTACAGGTTACCACAAGTACACCTATACAGATCAACCCTTAAACCCAAAGCCACAATCATAATTCTTTCCATTCATACATTTTACATACACACACACACTAATAATAATAATTATAATCACATAGAAATCACACTACTGTGATATATATAAATTAAAAAAATCCAATTGGGCTGTGAGGTGGGTGCGAACTTACGACCAAGGCTGCGCACAGCAGGTGGCACAGTGGTAGAGTATGCAGCCGGCAAAGCCTTGCTTGTAGGTTCGCGCCGCCTCATAGCCCTAGTGGGAGTTTCTCAATAATTATAACGATAGACAGAGAAATCACTAATGTGATGTATATCGATGAGAAAATCAACTGGAGCTCTGAGGCGACTCGAACCCATGGCCAAGAGAATTCCAGCCACTGGTGCTAACCCCTGGACAACCATGAACTGGTTAAAACGTCATTACCTAGTCATTTTCAAACTTTTGTGGGTTTGAGTCACCTCAGAGCTCCAGCTGATTTTCTCATTGATATACATCACATTAGTATGATTTCTTTGTTTATATAATAATAATAATAATAATAATAATAATAATAATAATAATAATAATAATAATAATGGTAGGACTTTAAGAACAGGGGGAACGTGAACTAGAAGAGCAGAGAGTAAATGACAGCTGCAGTGACAAATTCTGACTGAGCTGCAGATGTCAAGAGGCCCTCTCCCATTTTTTTTATTTTTTTTCAGGCTAGGCAGATATATGAAGGAAAAAAATCGGCTGATAAAAACTGTTTGTTTAGACGCAATACAAAGAATGAAAAGCAGATTACAAAATGTTCCAAGTCTCAGACGAATTTATACAGAAGGATCTAACAAAGGAAGAGCAAGGCACAACAGTGGAGGGAATAAAAAGGCACAGGAAGCGGGAAACAAATTTGGGGATTGGTTTCCAATCAAGAGATAGTTTTGGAGAGCAAGGAACCACATGAGACACATTCGCAGTGACCTAAAATAACGAAAGCATTAACAAGAAACTTTCTAAGCCAACATACGAGGAGACCCCATAAGAATGAGGGGTAATTGATGAACCAGATACTCTTAGTTTGATACTCGCTCTAAACGAGTCTGGCATGACTCGCGAGGGGTCTTTGATTACAGATATTTGAGTGGCTGGTGGAACTAGGAAGGACCTTGTCAGGAAGCGACATTGAGGTAAAAAGTTAACTGACCGCTTGGAAAACTTTGAAGAGATGAGAGAATTTCTATTCGGAATGCCATGAAAGCAAAACACGTTAGTATCAGAAGGCAGTCTTAGGGCCTTCACCTTAGGGCCATCTTAAGGCCGTTGAACAGACATTCCCGTATGGAGCACAAGAGATCATTCCTGAGAATGAATTACCCCATAAGAATGAGGGGTAATTAATGAACCAGATACTCTTAGTTTGATACTCGCTCTAAACGAGTCTGGCATGACTCGCGAGGGGTCTTTGATTACAGATATTTGAGTGGCTGGTGGAACTAGGAAGGACCTTGTCAGGAAGCGACATTGAGGTAAAAAGTTAACTGACCGCTTGGAAAACTTTGAAGAGATGAGAGAATTTCTATTCAGAATGCCATGAAAGCAAAACACGTTAGTATTAGAAGGCAGTCTTAGGGCCTTCACCTTAGGGCCATCTTAAGGCCGTTGAACAGACATTCCCGTATGGAGCACAAGAGATCATTCCTGAGTCTCTTGCAACTGTTGCAGTAACTGAAGGAGATCGATAACAAGAAGTAAAATAATAAGGAATCATGGAAAGAAGAAGGAATGTGTAGCAATAATAAGAGGGAAGAATAATCTAAACATATTTAGGTATATGATTCTCATCCAAACAAATTTAGACTTATAGTTCTTATCCCGAGAAATTAGCTTAGATGAGGTTGCCATATGGAGAAGATGGGAATGAAAGTACAAGTTTAATGTGGATATAATATACTTCAAAAAGCTAAAATAAAATAACGATTCAAATGCTTGTCTGATATGGACATTATATATTATTTACAAACATCAAATAAAGAGCCATTGTTCAATTATCTACTGTATACACGATGCAGGAATATTGCGAACTACTGATCCACGTAACCAATATATGGGTAATACTGATGCGTTGTTACACGGTGACTTCTATATCATCAGTGTAGAACTGTTCGTTGATCCAGTATACCTGCCTTTCAGCCCCCTCCCAATCACCGCTGTTCATGTTCCCATGTACGGTAGTTTGTAGCCCAAGTGTAAAAATGGTTGTAACTTTGGTGTATAGTTGTTCATTACTCTAATGTATCTCTGACCATGAGCCTAGACCATAGCTGTTCATAACCTAAGGGAATCTTTGTTCGTGATGGCGGAGTGCTCCCCGCTCTTCCTCTGTTCGAATCGCCCATCTAAAGGCTTCACCCAAGTATTAAAATTTAAATAATTGCTAACAGAACCAAAATACCTAACTTATCCTAGACTTAACTATTCAAAAAGTATATATTTCACGTGAAGGTGAATTATAGAGAAAATTGCCGTGGGACAGTCATAGTCTGAGGACGAGTTCGCTTTCTCAATGTGTACCCTTGTTGATAGTCCCATTGCACCTGGGGTCGTAGTCCCATCGTACCTGGGGTCGTAGTCCCAGCGTACCTGGGGTCGTAGTCCCAGCGTACCTGGGGTCGTAGTCCCAGCGTACCTGGGGTCGTAGTCCCAGCGTACCTGGGGTCGCCGCCCCACTTCCCCGCTGGTCACAGTATTAACGACACACAGAGAGCACCAGCAACAACACCGCCCAGGCTAAAATGTTCCCGCGGGTGCCGGGGGCGCTCCAGCGTCTGGAGGAGGCACCGCTGGTGTGGCAGTCGCTGAAGCGGGTGTAGTTGGCCTCGGTGATGGCGCACCAGTGGATCAGGCGACAGTCGCTGGAGCAGGCGGAAGAGTCCTCCAGGCTGACAGTGTTGGCCCGGTAGTAGCGATCAAACAGCACCTGGTTCGTCTGAGGCAAACGTTGGCGTATCATCAGAGTTAGTATGCAAATGAACTAATACATTCACAACTAACTAATTACATTCACAACTGAACCAACTACATTCTCCCGCTCGGTATAACGAGCGGGAGAATGTAGCTAATAGTCACTAAATCGCACAGAGGAAATCACATTTGGCGCCTACTGAGTTTCTCATCAATTCATCACGTTAATGGGATTTTTTGCGTGCATTTGACAGAGCAATGGGAGGATTAGGGAAGGGGGGGGGGGTAGATCTATACCACGTCAGAGTGTATGCGGGGAATAAATATGTATGTGAAACCCTGACTTGGTGTCGGCTAGATGCCTCAGGAACCCCTAGAGGATTCAGTTGAATCCTTGGTCACATTACTTTTAACATATCGCAGGCCAGTGATTTACGGTGTGTGCTTAGGCGCACCCAGGGTGCAGATTCGAATCCTCATCATGGCTCTTACTGATTTTCTCTCACTGACTATTTTTTTGTCACTGAATCATTAATATATACACATAATATGAATACAAGATATGCACATATACTATAAAAATATTTATCTTTGGTATTACCAGCCAAATTGAACGTATTTCTTATCTAGGTTGGATATGAACATTAGTCACCAAAATACTCGGAATTAAACAGAAAAAACACACACTATCGCTCAACAAAAGAAGCATTTAGCCTCACCTGAGAAAAATGTAATAAAAAAAGCACCACTCAGTTCGTATATATTTCACAATATTAGATCACTACTCACTAAGGTTAATTAATATATTCCAAACAAGATAAATTACCTACATATATCCGGTTTCAAAGTCTATGAGGGATCCCTTCGTTAACATTTCACTGACAGCCGCCCATGGCAACAATAACCTTAAATGTGACGTTTATCACCTGATGAGAACAGACTGAACAGATCTAGGATGTTCTCTACGAGAACAACGATCTCCATGTCAGGAACAATACACCTCACGCAGAGTGTAGCTTGAGGAGATTTTACTGTGACTGATCAATCAAGAGCACATTCAAATTCAAACTCAAAATTCAAATGTTTATTCAGGTAAAGTACATACATACAAGGTGTGATACAAATATTGATGAATTTTTAGATAGAGATAGTACATACAATGCCTTAATACCACTATTACGCAAAGCGTTTCAGGCAGGTATCAACATAGGTTGATACCCCCATACCCCAGTGAAGGGGGCGCTTCAGTAGGACCTAAAAACCTGTAATGGTATGATCATTATGGGGTTGGGTTGAGTTTCGCTAGGCTAGGCTATTTTGGGTTGGGTTGGGTTTGTTTATAGAGGAGCTATGACGCAAGGGGAGGGGGGTACGTACTTTTCTTAGGTCTTAGACCGTACTCGGAGGCGTGGCTCACCTTGAGCTTGGTGGCCAGGTCGTAGAGGGAGGCCGGGGTGATGGAGGCGAGGTTGTAGGAGGAGGTGAAGTTATACTCCAGCTGCCACACCGCCTTGCCCTGGGCGTTGGCCTTACCCAGGTCCAGGTAGTACGTCGACACCTCCTTTATCTGCAGGCGAGAGAACCGCCTGAACAGGAGAGACCTTAGCAAGGGAGATGATGACTCTAATAAAGGGTTAGGAAATTTGGAAAATGAGGGGGTAAAGCGACCTAAATAATCAAGACAGATTTGGAAAAGGCGGCGAGAAACCTGGATAAATTAAGACACCTGGGGAAGAGGATAAATAATTGTAGAGGAAGAGGGAAATTTTTTGGGAAGGAAAAAACAGAAGGGGAAAGAGAGCTGTAGAAGACCGTTGTATCTACCAAAGAGAGACATGGAGTAGGGAACGACCAGTAGGTGAGGGTAAGACTGGACGACCTGGAGGGTAAAATACTCTCAAAGAGAAAGAGTAGGACCTAAATAAGTGGATGAGAGATATGAAGGAAAGCGAAGAGGCTTACAACGGAGGTCTTGATTGATGAAGATTAAGCCACCCAAAAGGTGGCATGGGCATGAATAGCCCGTAAGTGGTGGCCCTTTTGAGCCATTAACAGTATCAAGAGCTGATACTGGAGATCTGTGGAGGTGCGACTGCACCCTGCGTGACGGGAGATGTCTCCCGTGAACGGAGGTCGACCTGAGGAGAAGAGGAAGGGAAGGGAACTATGAGCAGAAAGCGCCAAGCTATTACGACTATATAGAACTGGGAAGTGATAGAAGGAAGGGAGGGAGACAGAGACTTGTAAAAAAGGAGAATCCCGCGAAAGAAATAAAAGCCGGGACAATGAGAAGTGACCTATAGAAAGATAGACATGGAGAAAATGGTGAATAACCTCGGAAGGTAAGAGAGAAACCTGGAAAAATGAGAGAAATCTAGATAAGAGGCAAAGGTCTTGGAGAATCTGATGGAGACCTTAACAGAAAAAAAGGTAGAGTCGTGTAGACTGCTGGGAGACGAAGAGGTGAGAGACTGAGACAATTCCATCCCTCGCAAAAAATCACTTATAGTCGTCTAAAAGAAACAAAAAAACCAAAGAAGTAATAAAAGACTCGCTTTATGGCTTTACAATAGGACGATTACATCTAACAAATTTACTTTACCTGTATTAGCTTCAATTAAAAAAAAAATAAACAAGTTACATCAAAGAGCAAACTCGCTGCCAATTGTCAAAAATAATTTGGAAAAAAATATGACTGGGATTGATTAGATGTGTATAGAAGCTGCCTTGCATGAGTCAATATATCTTTTTTCAGATTCTTGTGTTTTCAAGTTCTTAGATCTTTGGATGGGGCAAAAGACTTGGAGGATGAAAGATATCTGCAGGTGTGCAGGAGGAGGCTCGCCTGCTGGAGGAGTGGGGGGAGGGGAGGGTAATCACCTCTATGGGGGTCAGGGAGATATTTCCAAAGGGGGGGAGGGGGAGACGCCAGCAAGGAAAAAAATCCAACCAATTCTCCACTTTAGGAGTTACAGGCCACCGAAGACCTACTGACCACAAGAAATCTACTGACCATCGGAGAGACCTACTGACCATCGGAGAGACCTACTGGCCATCGAAGTAGGAGAGACCTACGAACCACCGGAGAGACCCACTGACCACCGGAGAGACCTACTGACCACCGGAGAGACCTACTGACCACCGGAGAGACCCACCTTGCCGGTGTTGGTGTCGTAATAGACCAGTCTGAGACCCGGGTTGTTGGCGCCGGTCTCCTTGGAGAGGGAGGACCTCCAGGGCGTGACCCCGGGGGCCAGCAGCTGGTAAGCCACGGGCGTCCCTGGGTCATGGGGCTGCTGGTCCCTGAAGAACAACCTGTAGGTGTTGCCACAAGTCTTTAGACTGACCATTGGTGCAGCAATTTGCCATTTGTGTAAGACAATGTTAACTTTCTTGATCACATTTGCACTAATATGCATCCATTTTGATGAGTGGGAATATTTCTTCTACTGTTTAATCATTTTCTTTGTTAATTTTAATTTTAGCTACAATTAACTGCTTATAACTTCTCAGATATGAGGCAGTGTGTGGCAGATATAAGGCAGAGTGTGTCAGATATGAGGCAGAGAGAGAGAGAGAGTCTCAGAGGTGAGTCAGAGTGTCAGATATGAGACATCAATGAAAAGATGACCATACCCACCTCCTCGTGCCCCAGAAGACAGCCCCTTACACTCACCTGAAGGAGTCTGTGTGGTGGTGGGCGAAGAACTGTGCCTCAATTACCCCCGAGTGTCTCTGGATCATCTGTGGAAAAGTTGGAAAGTACACGGACCCCCACTAATCAGTAACAGACATATATATGTGTGTATATATATATATATATATATATATATATATATATATATATATATATATATATATATATATATCTCACGAGAAGTCGAGTAAAGTCAGTACACACTATCAGAGTGCCAGCGTTAGTTGAAGGAGTGCCTGTCGTGAATTTCCATTTTGGATCTAATGGTTTGTTGATGTTGTAATTCCTTTGTGACACTTTGTAATCGAGTTGGAACCTGTCCGGCTCGAGGGGGGGGAAACGACCGATAATCACTACGCTTCCTCGTCTGGTCAGGTGAGCATAAACTACCATGTAGCGAAAGGTCAATACACAAAAAGGGCTAAAACTCACTGACCTATCAAATGGTACACTGTAAAGAATGTTATCAACGTGGATTAGGTGCTTGGGTGATGGACAGGTACGCCTGGGTGATGGACAGGCACGCCTGGGTGATAGACAGGTACGCCTGGGTGATGAACAGGTACGCCTGGGTGATAGACAGGCACGCCTGGGTGATATACAGGCACGCCTGGGTGATGGACAGGTACGCCTGGGTGATGGACAGGTACGCCTGGGTGATGGACAGGCACGCCTGGGTGATAGACGGGCACGCCTGGGTGATGGACAGGTACGCCTGGGTGATGGACAGGTACGCCTGGGTGATGGACAGGTACGCCTGGGTGATATACAGGCACGCCTGGGTGATGGACAGGTACGCCTGGGTGATGGACAGGTACGCCTGGGTGATGGACAGGCACGCCTGGGTGATAGACAGGCACGCCTGGGTGATGGACAGGTACGCCTGGGTGTTAGACAGGCACGCCTGGGTGATAGACAGGAACGCCTGGGTGATAGACAGGTACGCCTGGGTGATGGACAGGTACGCCTGGGTGATGGACAGGTACGCCTGGGTGATGGACAGGCACGCCTGGGTGATAAACAGGTACGCCTGGGTGATAAACAGGTACGCCTGGGTGATAGACAGGTACGCCTGGGTGTTAGACAGGCACGCCTGCGTGATAGACAGGCACGCCTGGGTGATAGACAGGTACGCCTGGGTGATGGACAGGTACGCCTGGGTGATGGACAGGTACGCCTGGTTGATGGACAGGTACGCCTGGGTGATAGACAGGTACACCTAGATAGATAGGAAGGAAGGAACTATCAGGGGGAAAGCGCCAAGCCATTACGACTATATAGCACTTGGAAGGGGTCAGGATAAGATTTTGGGATGGGAAGGGAGGCAGGAATGGTGTCCAACCACTTGGGCGGTCGGGGATTGAACGCCGACCTGCATGAAGCGAGACCGTCGCTCAGCCCAAGTGGTTGGACACCACCTAGATAGATAGATACACCTGAATGTGTATCAGGCACATGGATAAGAGGAAGGAACACGGTTGATAGGACGCGGTACCTGGATAAATTTATCGTTGTAGAGCGGATAATACCAGTGAAAACCTTCCTTGGTCGTCTGGTACCTCTCAAACGTACCCGGTGGAATATGGCCAATAAGGTACACCTGAAATGATCAAGCAATCTGTTGTTAGGAAATCTTGCATACCTTTTTCCACTTTCTAATGATCATAATATATTTTTATAAGTGTCGTCTTATACTGGATGTTGTGATATATAGAGCAATTGATTTAGTGGACACGAAACAGGGGATTTTATAGTTTTTCAGCTGGTTTTAATACCGGCTGTTAGTTGTCAAACCAGGGGCCAGATTCACGAAGCAGTTACGCAAGTATTTACGAACCTGTACATCTTTTCTCCATCTCTGGCGGCTTTGTTTACAATTACTAAACAGTTAATGAGCTCCGAAGCACCAGCAGGCTGTTTATAACAATAACAACAGTTGATTGGCAAGTTTTCATGCTTGTAAACTAATTTAGTAAATGTAACCAAAGCCGTCAAAGATTGAGGAAAGATGTACATGTTCGTAAGTACTGGCGTAACTGCTTCGTGAATCTGGTCCCAGGTGGCTCTCAGGCAACCTAAGGAGTACAGTAAAGAAGACCATTATCTTCCGGGTTTCTTTCTATGTTAGGTTAATGCATGACACACAATCTCTTTTTCACAGTTTTTTTGCTACATAGGTCTCCCCCCCCCCCGGCTTCTACTCTACTTCTACTAGTACTTCTACTCTACTGTACTTCTACTCAACTGTATTTCTACTCTACTGTACTTCTACTCTACTGTACCTCTACTCTACTGTACTTCTACTCTACTGTACTTCTACTCAACTGTACCTCTACTCTACTGTACTTCTACTCTACTGTACCTCTACTCTACTGTCTTCTACTCTACTGTACTTCTACTCAACTGTACCTCTACTCTACTGTACCTCTGCAGCTAGACATAAAATATTTAATGATATTTTGTTCTGAATCTGGAAAGATATATTAAAATTTATCCCAAATAGTTTGATGATATACACGTATATATATATATATATTGTTGATTAGTACTTAGTTATTTTTCATCGACTTGTGCTCCAAACCTTCCATTTAAACAGCCACGACTCACCCTACGTCCCCTGGCTGTCAGGTTCTTGAGGAGTCTGTCAGCCCAGGCGAACTGCCCATCAGGATCGTTGTAGTTTCCGGTATTATTGTTGCTCTTGTACCAGATGAGGGTGTTGAGGGCCACTATGGTGACGTTCGTGCCGCCCACGTCCGCCCAGTACCGCCCACCTGCGTGGTAGGGAGGACGTCAGCACATCTGAGAGGCACGTTTTCCCTTGTGGTATCTCCCTCTCCAAGGTTGTCCCTTGGAGGAAATATATACTATACTATATGGAGGGGATATATACTATACTATATGGAGGGGATATATACTCCCTCACTGAAGGGAGTATATATCTACACATAGAAATCACAATAGCGTGATGTATCAAATGAACAAATGAATTGACCATGTGGTAGCTCAGTCGATTAAGGCAGCGTCTGGGATGCTCTCGGACGCAGGTTCGAATCCTCGTTACGTCCCTTGTGGATTTGTTCGAGTATATATCTCATTGGAGGAGCATCTGTGAGGGAGTATCTCGCTCCTTAATGGTACAGCTCGCCCGAGGGGGTGTCTCACCTAGACGAATCCTTCACTCACCGTTCTTGAAGGACTGGTACGAGTCGTTTTTCAGCCACGGCCTCCACATGTCGGCCACCCGTGTCTGTAGCTCACTCGTGCCCACCGGAAACTGCGGGGAGGGAGCCAAATTAGGTCAACTTTCCATTCACCTGGGCTCCAGGAGACTCGAACCCTGGACCCTAAGTGTGTGAGACCGAATTTGATATGTCACGTTTGCTCTTGTGGAATATTTGAAGTACTTTCATGAAGGATGCTCAGCATTCGTAACTGAGTTCGTGTCTCGAAAGAGGCTTTCGAGGCATTAGTGAAACAAAAGATTTCCATATATAGCTTGTGATGAGCTTAGCCCATTCGTGAAGGTTTTAGACCTCAATACTCTCTATAACAACAAACAATATTACAATTATACTGTGAAATATGTTTAAACTTTAGAGTATTTTTTTCAGAAACATCCAATTTAAAAGAACAAACTTTGCTTCTATAAAGTGCACATGAACCTGTATTTTAGAGTCGAAAACTTGGTGGAAATTAAATCTGTATTTGCCTAAAAGGAAGAAAATGATTTGTTAGCAGAAAACATCTTTGTTGCTAGTGAGGGCAGGAGTTGCTAGCCCTCCCCCCTAAGGGCTGGTGGTTAGTTGGGTGCTCTGGAGCGTACCTGGTTCTTGGGATAGTAGTCGTGGTTACCAAGGACGGGGTAAAAGGGCGTGTGAGGGAAGGACTGGTTGAGCATAGCTGTCAGGTCCTTGATGATCTTCACCACTTTATCTGTGCTGAAGTACTGGTCTGAGACGTGAGCAGTGTCGTCCCTGGCAGAGGAAGACATTGATTGTTCAATGATTGATTTATTGATTGTTCAATGATTGATTTATTGATTGTTCAATAATTGATTTATTGATTGTTCAATGATTGATTTATTGATTGTTCAATAATTGATTTATTGATTGTTCAATGATTGATTTATTGTTTGTTCAATAAATCACTGAACTATATGTTTAACTGATCTCTAACCCTGTCCATTGAGAACAGAAGAAAATGTATACATGTGGGTTAGCATTGCAAATGTGTGGCCACGTCTGTGGTAGAAAATAATAATAATAATAATATTAATAAAAAACTTCTTACTACATAAATCCATGTAATACCCTGTAGCACAGTAGTTAGCACACTCAGTTAACAACAAACTGACACCGAGCACAGTTACCGGACAGGAAGAAACGCTTTGGGACTCTTGCTGGCCTCCTATGTCTCTGCTCCCGTAACCAGTGAAAAAGACACTTGCATACACAAAAGAAAACACCCACCCACTTCGAGACTACTCGCACCAAGATCCCAAACATCCTTCGAGTTTCCACACGAAGTGGCGAGGTCATGTGTCTAAAGGAGCGCGAGAACTCACCCCGTCCAGAGCACGAAGTCCGGGCGGGGTTGGCGTTCCACCATGGCATTGATGGCGCTCTTGACCAGTTCGAGGGGCGCGTCGCACTCGTAGTCCCCGAACTTGCCCGGAAGGCTGCCGTCCGCCCCGAGGCCCAGGTCCACCCTAAGAGGAGAGTTATGGTAGTGTAGTAGTATATAGCTGCTGTAGTAGACATGGTTTGAGTAGCAACAGTAGTTATGTATATTATATACAGCCCAATAACAATACTACTACTACAAATAATGATAGCTATGGGTGACAAGAAGGGGAGCTCACTTAGCCTTGTCCCAGCACATGCTACTGCTGGAGCCAGTCGTCGTGTAGTTGACGTCATAGTGAAAGTCCGTCACTTGCCAAAACGTTCCTGATTGTGACGGGAAAAATAAAACGTCTTAAGTGTGTATCGCAGCGATCTGTTGGGTGGAAGCACCTGATGGGCCCGCCTCCCCTGCCAGTCCCCTAGGGGCCCACTTGACGACTGGTGGGCCCTCACTCCGGTTCTCTCTTATCCCAGCTCTACCGGTTCTCAAGGAATCGAAGGCTGGTGGGCTTAATCAGATCGCTTAGCGAGTGACTGTGACTTCCTTGGAGAGCATTTTAAGACAAGGACTAACTCCCAGGTACATGGGTTATGCCAGGTGAACACAAGCAACGGGTGTAGCGAAGCCTGCCCACAGGTGTCGCATCGCCCAGGAGTCGAACCAAAGACCACTTGGTTGTGAGACAGCTGCGCTAGCCACTGTGTTTGTGAGAGTGTGTGTAATTACCTTAGTGTAGTTACAGGATGAGAACTAGGCTCGTGGTGTCCCGCCTTCCCAGTTCTCTTTGTCGTATAACGCTTTGAAACTACTGACGGTTTTGGCCTCCACCACCACCTCACTTAACTTGTTCCAAACGTCTACCACTTTGCAAAAGAAAACCTTCTAATGTTTTTTTTTCAGCACCTTTGTTTCCTTAGCTTGAAACAATGACCTCTTGTTCTTGAAGATACGGGTTTCAAGAATTCTTGTTAATTTTGTCGATTTCTGTTAATATTTTGTACGTAGTGATCATATCTCTTTTTCTAGTTGTATCTAATAGCTTTGGCATATTTAACACCTCTAGATTCGCCTCATTGATCTTGTTTTTAAGTTCCGGAAGCCATTTAGTTGCATGCCCTTGCACCTTTTCCAACTTTCTGATGTGCTTCTTGAGATATATATGGTCACCGTACAATCTCTACATATTCCAATTTTGGTGTGTGCATGCATGTCCCTTTTAGTAGTGTGCTGTGAAGACCATCACACGTTGTTAAATAATTATAAAATTGAGTAAACGTGTGATCAACATTGTTAAACCAAAGTTATCTAGCAAAATTAAACAGAGTGGATAAATTAAATATCGTCCTCCGAGATAACCTCGAAGGTCATAATAGAAATATCGTACATGGACAACTGCGGCGCACCTGGGTTAAAATAACTGGTTGTGTCACTTTACAACCATATTAAATTACACTCTGTGGTTGTAAGGACAGTGTAAGCACCCTAAAACGTGCCATGGTCAGTTGTGATTATTAATCTGTCAGCATTAAGGGTTATTTAAATATTATTGTTAGTGTGTGGCAATGTTTCACACACTCTTGCCATATGAGGATTTTTGTTTTTTAAATGTGTTGTTCTCGTCAATGTGTGTTTTAGTTTAATGATTGTTGTACCAAGTTGTGGGGGTGGTAGTACTGGTTGTACCATGTTGTGGGGGTGGTGGTACTGGTTGTACCAAGTTGTGGGGGTGGTAGTACTGGTTGTACCAAGTTGTGGGGGTGGTAGTACTGGTTGTACCAAGATGTGGGGGTGGTAGTACTGGTTGTACCAAGTTGTGGGGGTGGTAGTACTGGTTGTACCAAGTGTCCGGTGTGGTTGTGGGGATGATAAGGGTGGTTGTAACACGTAACACAGAGTATAGCTGTGTTTGTTACCATCCATAACAAACATACAGATAAACACAAATATAAACACAATTAATACAATTGTATACCATTTTTTTTCATTAGCCTCGGGCCTATTATAAACACTTTGTTTACTATTGATTATGCAATAAAAATACAGCCGTGAACATAGGTCTAAGTCAGGTTAGGCCTAGGTTAGGTTAATTTGTCATTAAGTAAAAAAAAATCCTACATGTATAATATCAGCCACAATTATATGTATACTGATAGGTTAATTGTATTTTAGATCACTATTACAATACATTTCACACTGTAAACAACTTGATACATCAATATTTACACACACAAGTCACTTACACTCATCAAAACAACACTTCGTATAGCCTAGGATAGTTGTATCCCAAGTATGGCCATGGAAAAGATATACAAAAGTACTCACCAATCCTAGCCTGGACCTGATGCGGGAGAATCACCACTCCCAACACCACCACCACCAGCAGCACCATCACCATTTTCATCACCACCATCACTACCACCACCACCTGCCACCAGAGCCACCCCGCCAGCACTGAGCGAGCCTCTCCACATCTGACTGTCACAGTTGATAACCACGATGATAGCACTCACACAATAGTAATAATAATATTACATGAAGATGCCCGTGTACAACATTAGAAGCAGAACACATTCAGCTGTTTATAGGCTGGATAATGTATAATATATCGGGTGTGTGACCCTGGCAAGTTTGGCTGTATGTGGCATGTGGCTTGACGGAGGGGAAGGGAAGGGGGGGGGGGCAACATAGCCAAGGGTGGCCATGTTGACTATGTTGTGTGAGGTACTTCAGCCTCCTCTTGCCGTTGTTGCTGTAATGATAAGATCGTCATTACGTACTTATTACCTTATCCGAACGACGCTTGTCAAGGCCACGGCGCTCTGATATACCACCACCACCTCCTGCGCTGGTGGTGGTGGTGATGGTGGTGATAGTGGTGACGCTGCTGGTGGTGGTGGTGGTGGTGGTGGTGGTGGTGATGGTGGTGGTGGTGGTGGTGGTGGTGGTGGTGGTGATGGTGGTGGTGGTGGTGGTGGTGGTGGTGATGGTGGTGGTGATGGTGGTTGTAATAATGGTGGTAGAGGCGTTACGATGGGGCTTACCTATCAACAGACCCAGTGGCGTAGCGGTAAAGCATTCGCCCGGCGCTTTGGCCTGAGTTCGTATCCTGGCCGGGGAGGATTGACCGGGCGCCAATCCTTAACTGAAGCCACTGTTTACCCAACAGTAAAATGGGTACCTGGGTGTTAAACGATTTGGCGGGTCGTATTCCGGGGAAAAATTAGGATTAAGAACCTGCCTGAAACACTACGCGTGCTGGTGGCTGTACAAGAATGATTGATTGATAAAGATTAAGCCAATCCAAGAGGTGGCACGGGCATGAATAGCCCGTAATACAAGAATGTAAGAAGTCTTGTAAATATAAGACCCAGGGTGTGACACACACCCCACCTAAGACCCAGGGTGTAACGCACTCCACACCTAAGACCCAGGGTGTGACACACTACACTCCACACCTAAGACCCAGGGTGTGACACACTCCACACCCCACCTAAGACCCAGGGTGAGACGTACTCCACACCTAAGACCGTAACTGAGTTATGCCAGGCCATTACATTACATGCTGGTGATTTACCGTACACCCAGACCTAATATATCACACAAACACAATACGGGTAAGCTAAAGCAATGTTACTAACAGTAAATATCAGCGAAAATCTCCTCACACACACACACACACACACACACACACACACACACACACACACACACACACACATCTGTACACCAGTTGATTGACAGTTGAGAAGCGGGACCAAAGAGCCAAAGCTCAACCCCCGCAAGCACAAATAGGTGAGTACACACACACACAAACATTGTTCAGACTGGTAGAGCCGACCTGCTTCATGCAGGTCGGCGTTCAATCCCCGACCGTCCAAGTGGTTGGGTATCATTCCTTCCCTCCCCTTCCCATCCCAAGTCCTTATCCTGGTCCTTTCCCAGTGCTATATAGTCGCAAGGGCTCGGCGCTTTCTCCTGATATTCCCCTTCCTCTTTTATTAATAATGTTTCACAAACTCACAATATATTTAAAGCGGCCAAATAGTTCATGGTCTTAACTCTTGAACTTCCTGACCGCACCTCCACGCTTTATTGAGCTTCCTCTCTGCCATGGCCACCACCAGCACCGCTCCTGTGCCAGGTAAGTCCACTACGGGCTCACCATAGCCCGTGCTACTTGCACCGCTCCTGTGCCAGGTAAGTCCACTACGGGCTCACCATAGCCCGTGCTACTTGCACCGCTCCTGTGCCAGGTAAGTCCACTACGGGCTCACCATAGCCCGTGCTACTTGCACCGCTCCTGTGCCAGGTAAGTCCACTACGGGCTCACCATAGCCCGTGCTACTTGCACCGCTCCTGTGCCAGGTAAGTCCACTACGGGCTCACCATAGCCCGTGCTACTTGCCCCGCTCCTGTGCCAGGTAAGTCCACTACGGGCTCACCATAGCCCGTGCTACTTGGAAGAGTAGCTGAATCTATAACAATAACAACAGCCATGGCCACAGCCGTCCTGCTAAGTAACCCCAAACTTAGAAAGTTTGTATATTGTTTTCCTTGCGACATTTTTGTCCCCGCGCGAATGCAGGACTACACACCGAGTCCTGTACTTACTGCATCGCCGGTGTAGGACTGAAACACTGAGATTACCATTGCTGGTATATAGGATCTTTCCTCCGCCTTCCCTACTTTCAGTGTTTAGTGTGATATCGAGCACTGATACCCCAGCGAGCATAAGAAATATTGCCGGAACAACCGTGGACATCTTCAAAAGGAAACTAGATATATTCCTCCAAGGAGTGCCGGACCAACCGGGCTGTGGTGGGTATGTGGGCCTGCGGGCCGCTCCAAGCAACAGCCTGGTGGACCAAACTTTCACAAGTCAAGCCTGGCCTCGGGCCGGGCTTGGGGAGTAGAAGAACTCCCAGAACCCCATCAACCAGGTATCAACCAGGTATATAGGCCTACGATCCCCTGACCTAATTGCCACTTAGACTCTACTAGCGTGCCGTTCGTACCTCCCGTACCTAAACATGTTCAACGCACGGTCTCACCTTTATACTGAGAGTTCCTTCTGGTCTAAAAGGATTCCGAACTTGTATTATTCATCTTTTCTTCCCTTGTCTTTAGTCTGAGAGTCCCAGAGATGGTCTTCTTCAGACCAAGCCAACCTCTTGGGCACTCTCTTATCTTCTGGCGTGGTGCCAGTCTCTCTGGCACGGATGGTTCCAGTCTTCCTGGCATAGTTCTCACTTAACAAGCGTCATGTTAGAAACGTATGGGTGTTAGTGGCTTTACAAGAATGTAAAATCAACTTAAATTCTATGTTCTCTGTTAACCCCCAATGTACCTTCTTGTATATAAATAAATAAATAAATAAATAAATAAATAAATAAATAAATAAATAAATAAATAAATAGAAGTGGTTTTTGCCTAATGAGAAGCGAATTATTGTAAGAAACCTGCCAATCCTTGGAGACCAATGCTTATTAGTCTCGAGGAAACGCCAATGAGTCTGTGTTTTTAACTAAAGCACCGGAATTTTGACGAAGTGTCTCGACTAACGTCAAAATTGTGATGCATTGAGAGTAAAGGCGGGTTCCTTCAAGCTTTCTTGAGGCCTTAAACCTCCCTCCCCCCACGAGAACATGTGTAGGAAGTGTCCTTCAGAGGTAACATGTGTTAGCACACATGTTGTCTGTCTTCTGAATTCTGAAGATTCCCGTCCTCTAGATAAACTTCCCGTTCTCTATATAACAATCACTTCATTGATCTCATATATACACTATGTCAAGAGTGCTAAACCCAAGACTGCTCTTAATAGCAGCATCACTTCGCTCTGTAGATGTGCTAATTATCGGATAAATGCTGGAAAGCACATCTCGTATCTTTCGGGGCATGGAAGATAAATCCACATCATTCGCTAAACTTATATAATTACGTGCTTCTAAAAGGGAAACACAGAAGTATGGTGACAAGTCAGCACTTGCAGTAGTGGCAACGAGGCCTCGACGCAGCACCACCAACAACAGCTGAGGCCCCGACGCAGCACCACCAACAGTAGCGGAGGCCTCGACGCAGCACCACCAACAACAGCGGAGGCCTCGACGCAGCACCACCAACAACAGCTGAGGCCTCGACGCAGCACCACCAACAACAGCTGAGGCCCCGACGCAGCACCACCAACAACAGCTGAGGCCCCGACGCAGCACCACCAACAACAGCTGAGGCCTCGACGCAGCACCACCAACAACAGCGGAGGCCCCGACGCAGCACCACCAACAACAGCGGAGGCCTCGACGCAGCACCACCAACAACAGCGGAGGCCTCGACGCAGCACCACCAACAACAGCGGAGGCCTCGACGCAGCACCACCAACAACAGCTGAGGCACCGACGCAGCACCACCAACAACAGCTGAGGCCTCGACGCAGCACCACCAACAACAGCTGAGGCCCCGACGCAGCACCACCAACAACAGCGGAGGCCCCGACGCAGCACCACCAACAACAGCTGAGGCCCCGACGCAGCACCACCAACAACAGCGGAGGCACCGACGCAGCACCACCAACAACAGCGGAGGCACCTACGCAGCACCAACAACAACAGCGGAGGCCTCGACGCAGCATCACCAACAACAGCGGAGGCACCGACGCAGCACCACCAACAACAGCGGAGGCACCTACGCAGCACCACCAACAATAGCGGAGGCCCCGACGCAGCACCACCAACAACAGCGGAGGCCCGACGCAGCACCACCAACAACAGCGAAGGCCTCGACGCAGCACCACCAACAACAGCGGAGGCCCCGACGCAGCACCACCAACAACAGCGGAGGCACCGACGCAGCACCACCAACAACAGCGGAGGCACCTACGCAGCACCACCAACAATAGCGGAGGCCCCGACGCAGCACCACCAACAACAGCGGAGGCACCTACGCAGCACCACCAACAATAGCGGAGGCCCCGACGCAGCACCACCAACAACAGCGGAGGCCCCGACGCAGCACCACCAACAAGAGCGGAGGCCCCGACGCAGCACCACCAACAACAGCGGAGGCACCGACGCAGCACCACCAACAACAGCGGAGGCCCCGACGCAGCACCACCAACAACAGCGGAGGCACCGACGCAGCACCACCAACAACAGCGGAGGCACCGACGCAGCACCACCAACAACAGCGGAGGCACCAACGCAGCACCACCAACAACAGCGGAGGCACCGACGCAGCACCACCAACAACAGCGGAGGCACCAACGCAGCACCACCAACAACGCGTGAGAGGTTAGTGAGTCAATAACAGCCATGATTATAACGTTGATCACATTACCTTCCTCTCAGGCGAGTGTCCCGTGAGAGCTGCCCCCTGGTGCTCCCTTGGTGCCTCCTGGTGCCCCCTGGTGCTCCCTTGGTGCCTCCTGGTGCCCCCTGGTGACCCCCTGGTGCCCCGTAGTGCCCCCTGGTGCGCCTCTGGTGCCCCTGGTTCCCCCTGGTGCTCCCCTGGTGCCCCCCTAGTGTCCCCTGGTGCCCCTGGTGACCCCCTGGTGCCCCCTGGTGACCTCCTGGTGCCCCTGTCGTCAAGAGTGACAGTCCTGCCGTCAAGAGTTACAGTCCTGCCGTCAAGAGTTACAGTCCTGCCGTCAAGAGTTACAGTCCTGTTGTCAAGAGTGACGGTCCTGCCGTCACCCTTGACGGCAGGACCAGACGGTCAACAATGACACCCTGCATTGAATTCCTATTAAATTAATAAGATATCACATACTTGAATTGTCATCTCAATCGAAATTCCTTCATGCCTGGAGGCTGGATCACTTCCAGATGAACTGCATGACAAGGATAATATTGACCTTATCGAGCGTTCTCCACTGACAACCTGCCGGAGGACAAGAGCTAAGTCCTGCCAACCTGTGCTCATGAAGCTCGAAACAAGCCCCTCTGATCTTCCCTCTCGCTGCAAGCAGGAGAACTCAGCAACGTTGAGTTCTCCTGAACTCATTGAAAAATATATACTGAACGTCTCTTGGCCAAGGACCTCATCAGAGGCCTCAATACACATCAATAAACACCCACAAAAGCTATATTAAACCTTGTCACTAAGTTTAACCGAGCTGTTCCGCGGGCTAAATAAGGCTTTGGAATTTTGATCCTGTTCCTCCATTTGGTTGACGAGACAATTGTAGTTTGTCTCAATAACTCACTCTGGGGTTGGGAGTGGACATGGCCACTGCTGGAAAGGGCTGAGTGAAGACATGACCACAGCTGGAAGAGGCTGAGTGGAGATATGACCACTGCTGGAAAGGGCTGCGTGAATACATGACCACTGCTGGAAGAGGCTGATTGGAGATATGACCACTGCTGGAAAGGGCTGAGAGGAGTCATGACCACTGCTGGAAGGGGGCTGAGTGGAGACATGACCACTGCTGGAAGGGGGCTGAGAGGAGTCATGACCACTGCTGGAAGGGGGCTGAGTGGAGACATGACCACTGCTGGAAGGGGGCTGAGTGGAGACATGACCACTGCTGGTAAGGGCTGAGTGGAGACATGACCACTGCTGGAAAGGGCTGAGTGGAGACATGACCACTGCTGGAAGTGCTGAGGGGAGACACGAGACGGAAGAGGCTGCGAGCCGCTGTTCTCTAGTATCCTGCAGCATTCATTACCGACCAGCATAGAACACATATAGGGTGTCAGCTCCTTATGTTTGGAGGTGTATGGTGATTAGGTAATCCGAGAGCGGCACGGATCTTTAGAGGATAATGATTGGCCAATCACAAAAGGTCGGGGCTCCCAAGAGTGCACTGATTGATCTAACTGACATGACTTTTGTGCTAACAACCATAAGAGATGATATCAGCCAATTGAAGGCGGTTAGCGGGAGTCTGCTGCTTCACTTACCATAATATATCAAGTGTGGTTTGTATATCTGCGAAGATATCTACGCTAGATGGATCCTGACATCTTGATGGCTCAACTAAGTCTACCAAGATTTATTATTACTGCAAATATAAGTTTTATATTACAAAATTATATTCACTGTATCTACTGCTCCAAGATAGTCGACACTTTCTCATGTTCACCAAATCCTAAATCTGCCCAATTCTCACCAGCCTCTCTGACCCAATTTCGGTACATCTCGCTAGTTAATGGTTCATATCCTCTACCCGCGAGAACACTTTTAGGCCATCACAACACGAGTATGGTGATTCTCTTCATCATCCTCATCCTATCTGATGCTGTTTCTCCTCCTCATTCTTCTGGTGCTGCTGCAGCAGTAGCAGCAGAGTCAACACCTGGCCCCAGCAGCGGCCAGCAGTAGCAGAGTCAACACCTGGCCCCAGCAGCGGTCAGCAGTAGCAACAGTCAACACCTGGCCCCAGCAGCGGCCAGCAGTAGCAGCAGTCAACACCTGGCCCCAGCAGCGGCCAGCAGTAGCAGCAGTTAACACCTGGCCCCAGCAGCGGCCAGCAGTAGCAGCAGAGTCAACACCTGGCCCCAGCAGGGGCCAGCAGTAGCAGCAGAGTCAACACCTGGCCCCAGCAGCGGCCAGCAGTAGCAGCAGAGTCAACACCTGGCCCCAGCAGCGGTCAGCAGTAGCAGCAGAGTCAACACCTGGCCCCAGCAGCGGCCAGCAGTAGCAGCAGAGTCAACACCTGGCCCCAGCAGCGGCCAGCAGTAGCAGCAGAGTCAACACCTGGCCCCAGCAGCGGCCAGCAGTAGCAGCAGAGTCAACACCTGGCCCCAGCAGCGGCCAGCAGTAGCAGCAGAGTCAACACCTGGCCCCAGCAGCGGCCAGCAGTAGCAGCAGAGTCAACACCTGGCCCCAGCAGCGGCCAGCAGTAGCAGCAGTCAACACCTGGCCCCAGCAGCGGCCAGCAGTAGCAGCAGAGTCAACACCTGGCCCCAGCAGCGGCCAGCAGTAGCAGCAGAGTCAACACCTGGCCCCAGCAGCGGCCAGCAGTAGCAGCAGAGTCAACACCTGGCCCCAGCACCACCATGCACCACCACGCACGAGGATTACTCTCTCAGTAGTATAGAGCGAACTAAGTGACCAGGATTACGGCACTGGTCGAGGGGAGTTGAGCCCTGAATAACTGAGTGGGATTAGAGGTTTAATCTGGCGGGGGTTTGGATAGGCCCGGAACCCGCCTCCGGGGGCCCTCTGGGGGCTCTCTGGGGGCTCTCTTCTAGTCTACTGAGGAAGGTGGGGAATGTGGGGGTTGTGGGAGAGAGAGGGGAAGAGTGAGAGGCGGTCGGTGTGTTGAATGGAAGGACAGAGGATGGAATGACACATGGGTGATAGGGTTGGTATGTTGGAAGAATGGGTGGATCGAATGGTGCATGGGGAGACACGGAAGGCTAACGGGTGCATTTACCAGTCTCCGTGGTGTAGTGGTAAGACACTCGCCTGGCGTTCCGCGAGCGCTTTGTCATGGGTTCGTATCCTGGCCGGGGAGGATTTACTGGGGACAAATCCTTAATTGTAGCCTCTGTTTAACTCAACAGTAAAATGGGTACTTGGCTGTAACAACGATTCTTCGCGGCGGGGATCGTATTCCAGGGACTTGCCCGAAACGCTACGCGTACTAGTGGCTGTACAAGAATGTAACAACTCTTGTATATATCTAAAAAAAAAAGGGAGAGAGAGAGCGAGAGATAATGTGAGTAGGCGGATGGGAACACAACTCCCATGGTAATACCCATCTTTTCCCAACCAATCTTCAACTAGTACCTCCACCATCAAGCCCGAATGGTTCAATTCTCGGCCGCCACTCACCTCGGACCAAATCGCATCAGAACGGGACAATCCGTTGCCGAGGTAATCTGATTTGCAAGCACATTACGACATATGTCCACAGACACACACACACCGTCCCAGACGGATGCAAGACAATGCCAACAGAGGAGAGAGCGAGACAACATGGTACACTTTGAGGTGTGTGGGGGGAGGGAGGAGGGAACTATCAGGAGAAAACTCCAAGCCAGTACAACTATATAGCACTTGGAAAGAGTCAGGATAAGGATTTGGGATGGGACGAAGGGAAGGAATGGTGCCCAGTCACTTGGACGGTCGGAGATTGAACGCCGACCTGCATGAAACCCGACCGTCACATAACCGTCCAGCCCAAGTGGTTGGGCAAGTGTTGGCCTTACATTTCAGGGAGACTTTATCAACACACACTTCCCGCCAAGTGTGGGGGGAACAGTCTGCCTCAAATATAAGGCCAAAGACCTGGAGGTCACAAGCCACAGTCCAACACCCGAGCAACTCGTCAGTAAGGTAACACTAGTCATGTTCGCAAATATAGCGGACATATGCACAGATTTCGTAAACACAGCGACTAAGCAGTCGCTGTGTTTACTAAGGGCAGCAGCAGCAGGAGGCCCGGCAGGAGGGCCCGCAGCAGCAGCAGGGGGCCCGGCTGGAGGGGCCGCAGCAGCAGCAGGAGCAGGGGGCCCGGCTGGGACGCAGTGTTCAAGTAGATGCAGGAATGTGTCGTGACCTCTTCCTCTTTTACACTTAATTATAATGCAAATACCTTATTTTTAATTACTTTTCCCCTTGCACATCCTTAATGACCAAAGTTTGCCTGTGTGCTGGAGAGGCCGAGAGGGAGAGAGAGGGAGAGAGAGAGAGAGAGAGAGAGAGAGAGAGAGAGAGAGAGAGAGAGAGAGAGAGAGAGAGAGAGAGAGAGAGAGAGAGAGAGAGGGGGGGGGGGAGAGATTGACTTTGCATACACCCGTATCACTACAAGATCCTCATAGCAATTTACAAGGTTGGCAAAGAGATTACATTCATTACAAACCACGTAGACTAACCAACCATGGATGTAACCCTGAGGAGAAGAGTCACAGGGACGTAAGAAAGAAAGTTTTACCGTGCAAGGGACGTGACAAAAAAAAATAGAAAGGAATGGAGGGAGATTAAATCAGTTAACACAATAAACTGATTGACAAGAAACAATGTGGGAGATTAGGAGCTAGAGCTCGACACACATATGGGAGAGTGCAAATGAAAGAAACTCCTCGACATCCCTTTTCCGCCCTCCCCTTCTTCCCCTTCCGGCCGAAGGATTCACCCCAAAGCTTAATCCCAAAATTCCCCACTCTGGGAGTCGGCGTGGAGCAGCCTACCCGCCCTTCACGCGGTCCCAGTCAGCAATCAGGTGAGCAATTTCCGATATTGGTCTACTCAATATCCCGAGAACAGCAGGTAATATCCGGCGCCGAGCCAGTCCCCCAGCCACGCACAAGATAAAAGATAGTAATGATCATAATGATCCAATTTGGAGCCAACTTCACCAGTTTTCCAGTTGAAGGTCTCTGGCAACTTGAGTCTCGAACAACATGGACCAGGTCTCTGCCAGCACGGACCAGGTCTCTGCCAGCACGGACCAGGTCTTTGCCAACACGTACCTGGTCTTTGCCAACACGGACCAGATCTCTGCCAGCACGGACAAGGTCTCGGCCAACACGGATCAGATCTCTGCCAATACGGACCAGGTCTCTGCCAGCACGGACCCGGTCTCTGCCAGCACGGACCAGATCTCTGCCAACACGGACCAGGTCTCTGCCAGCAAGGACCAAATCTCTGCCAACACGGACCAGATCTCAACCAACACGGACCAGATCTCGACCAACACGGACCAGATCTCGACCAACACGGACCAGATCTCAACCAACACGGACCAGATCTCGACCAACACGGACCAGATCTCTGCCAACACGGACCAGGTCTCGACCAACACGGACCAGGTCTCGACCAACACGGACCAGATCTCTACCAACACGGACCAGATCTCCACCAACACGGACCAGGTCTCGACCAACACGGACCAGATCTCTGCCAACACGGACCAGATTTTCGTGGTATCTCTGACGTGCCTTTGTTTATTGCTCAAAGCGAGGAAATTGAAGGAAATTAATTCTGTAAATTATTTAGTGTACATTCCTGTATTTATATATCTTCATGCATCTACTTGACTTACCAATTTTCATATATTTATTGCTAGTAATATATACAGAATACCTGCCCCCAACAGCACCAAACATTATCACATCGATAATTTATATCAATGCTTTTAACCCGCGCCCTGAAGCAGGCCGCGGGGGACAGGTTCCATAGATATAACCTCGTTACTCCGTTACTCCGTTACTCGTTACTCCGAGTAATGCAGATAACGGAAGCACATCACGTATAAACACGTACAATCAAACATATGAGCCACATGAGCAAATCCACAAGGGGCCGTGACGAGGATTCGAACCTACGTCTGAGAGGAATCCCAGACGCTGCCTTAATCGACTGAGCTACGACATTTGTTCATCTGATGCATCAAGCTATTGTGATTTCTGAACCACACAACAACAACAAAATAAATAACCACGCCTTGGACATTATGCAGATAACAATAGAAATGATTGACAGGGCGAAGCCCAAACTCCTTATCTTGGGAGACTTCAATTATCTTGAGGTTATAGTGAGATGATTTCGGGGCTTTTTAGTGTCCCCGCGGCCCGGTCCTCGACCAGGCCTCCACCCCCAGGAAGCAGCCTGTAACAGCTGACTAACACCCAGGTACCTATTTTACTGCTAGGTAACAGGGGCATAGGGTGAAAGAAACTCTGCCCATTGTTTCTCGCCGGCGCCTGGGATCGAACCCAGGACCACAGGATCACAAGTCCAGCGTGCTGTCCGCTCGGCCGACCGGCTCCCAACATCGCTAACAACAACAACTCACTAACATCGAGTTTATACAAAAAAACTAAAGTAAGGAAGATGAACTAAGGCCCGGGAAAACGTACCCAGGAATTTCCACCGGTTATTTCAGGAACATTTTATTAATATCATCAAGTTGGCCTCCTATCGGTCATATTTGTTTATGTTTCACAACGTTGGATTAGTTTTCACGTCGAAGACGCTGGGTGCAGAAGCTGAGAACAAGCTGGTGATAAATTGTTGTTGGAGGCGACGAGATAATGACGGGTCTGGTAGCGGCGCCACAGTCCAGGCTGGCTCCTTACCATCCCACACTCTCCATCTTAAAGCAATTACGGCACCCTCCTCTTTCCCCCCTTCCTCTTCCTTTGGCTTCCTTCCACCTCAGAGTAGAAAGTTGTTTTCACATATCCATACATTAAAACATTGATTGTAACCATGATATATATGTGCTTCAGCCTACAGTTTAGACCTATTGTCTTATGTATGACCCTCTGTCCTGCGTGACAGTGAATACCAGCATTATCCTCACTTTAATAAGACTATCAAAATCCTCAGATTAGGCAAAATTGTAATTAATTTTGTCAATAAAGATGTTAATAATAAATAAAGACGCTCGGTGGAGAACTTCCTGCCAGGAGCCATCACGATTACCTTCCTGCCAAGCGACCTACCTTCCAAGCATCCATCACTGCGACCCTTCTTTCTAAGATAAGCCTAATCACTTAAGCTGGACGGTAGAGCGACGGTCTCACTTCTTGCAGGGCGGAGTTCAATCCCCGACTGCCTAAGTGGTTGGCCACCATTCCTTCCCTCTGTTCTATCCCAAATTCTAATTTCATTATCCCTTTCAAGTGCTTTATAGTCGTAATGGCTTGGTGATTTCACCTGATAATTAGCTTATCCTGCTCGCTGTCACACAACGGGCTGAGAATATAAGCTCTGGGTCACGTGACACTACAGGTCACGTTAACGAAGCCCATGTGTACAGTGAGTGCTGCATAATGGCGCTTACCACCTACCTACAAGGAACCCTGTTATCGATAGGGCTAAAAATTGTATATCCTTTCCTAGCCTAACCTTTAAGATCCACCGGTGCTTAAGGAAACACTTCAGGTCGTGTGAAATAACACATAACACATGGGCCCGACATGTATCTTGGGTTGTTCCTAAACACGTTTCAAAAAATTACTGAAAAAGGAACCATAGTTTCCTCTCTCAAATATTGTATAAGCAATATATTCAATAACTTACAAGACAGCCAAGTCTTCTCAGCCAATTAGCTCCACGAGGCAAGAAAGTAGTTAATTGTTTATTCCCAGTCACCAGCGAGCCAAGAGAAGCAATCGGATATCCCCGACTAATCAACAGCCGGAAAAAGTGAAGACAAGACAGCAAGCCCAGCGGTGCTTCAGGAATCAGCTGCGCGCCTCTTCCCTGTAAACAAGCTCTCTGTACACACGTAAAATATGATATTCTTGGGGCGTCTCGGAGCCATGATACATCCTCAGGTTTAAGGAGCTTGTTTTTTTTTTACCCCTGACGCACAGAAAGGAAATATCTTGCGATTTCATCAAATCCCATAAAACAAATCTCAAATTACACAGACTCAAGTTGTCGAAAGCTTCCAAAGGGTTTCATTAACATTGTCCAATAATGCCTAAAGCAAAAATAGGGTATACCATTGTCGGTGACACGAAGCCTGTTTGGCTTATCGAGGTTCCCGTAGACGAGGGAGGGAGGGATGGAGGGAGGGAGGGAGGGATGGAGAAAGAGACTAATTAGTATTTAAGAAAGGAAAGTCGTACACGACACACATGATTGAGTGCCATGACAAGGTTACTAAAATAAGACAGTGAAAAGAAGGCTGGCTAGACTTTATTTTTCTAGACCTAGACTGTCGAAAAGCATTTGACACTGTTCTCCATGAAAGACTGAAGGGGAAACACTGTCCTCACACCTGGCCTGCTACCCCTCTCACACCTGACCTGCCACCTCTCTCACACCTGGCCTGCCACCCTCTCTCACACACGTGGCTCGCCCTGCACCATCCCCAGGAGGTTTTAACAGGTTAATTGGGTGGCTGCTGTACCTGACTCACCAGACGAGCCACAACGAGGCCAGCAGAGGCCGAGGCTGCAGGTGAAGCCTCAGCGCCTCGCTCTCTGGGGGTCCCAGGAGCGCGCTGCCGTCTAGATGTCGCCTCCAGGAGTCCGCCAATAAGGTGTACCGAAGTCTGAGTTGTATTTCAACCCCCCCCCCCCCCGGCTTGCATATTTGGGTTGTGTGGTGGTGCTGGCCACCATCCAAGAGTTCTTATCGTGTTCCAGATGGAAATCATTGGTCTAGTTAAGGCTGGGCAAGATCCACATGTGCTTTCCTTTCAGACGATGTCGAGGGGTTCTCAAAAACATCTTTCATGGTGCTCCTGTAGGACTTTCCGGTCACAGCTTGGAGCGGATATCCCATCCGGCAAGCTAAATGTGATGAACACACTTGTGTTAGTGATTAAATACGTGCCAAAAACCCTAAAATCATTTAAGTTCCTTACAAGGAAGAAAACTGAATTGCGGGTATCGTTTCACATCATCGTGTAAAGGCGAGAAAATTGCAATGTTCTCAAAGATCAAATGTCTCTCAGAAGCAGGAGAAAGAAAGGGTAACAGGAGGAGCTGTTGGAAGAATCTCTCAAAACATGTATTTGATTGAGATCGTTCTTTTCCAGAGTCTTGTAACCTGAGTGGGAGTTCGGGAGAAGGAGAAGTGATCGCGACACATTATTAAACATTCCTCCAGCACGGGAGTAGGGGCTCACTCCGGGCCCCCAGGACACGGAGCCCCTGCGGCCTCATGTCCCCGGACACGGAGCCCCTGCGTCCTCATGTCCTCGGACACGGAGCCCAGCAGCCTCACGTCCTCGGACACGGAGCCCCTGCGTCCTCATGTCCCCGGACACGGAGCCCCAGCGGCCTCATGTCCTCGGACACGGAGCCCAGCAGCCTCATGTCCCCGGACACGGAGCCCCTGCGGCCTTATGTCCTCGGACACGGAGCCCAGCAGCCTCATGTCCTCGGACACGGACCCCAGCAGCCTCATGTCCTCGGACACGGAGCCCCAGCGGCCTCATGTCCCCGGACACGGAGCCCCTGCGGCCTCATGTCCCCGGACACGGAGCCCCAGCGGCCTTATGTTCCCGGACACGGAGCCCCAACGGCCTCATGTCCCCAGACACGGAGTCCCAGCGGCCTCATGTCCTCGGACACGGAGCTTCTCTCTATAGATGTTTATTCACCTTTCATTCCGTATTGTCTGGATTTCCATAAACATTCTTGTACAGCTGGAAGATATAACATAAATGCAAAACTTTCGCGTCAGTCCTCGTGTGAAGCTGTTCTTGTGGAGCGGCGTTGTCTTAGTGTAAGGAGACCTCTTCAGTGGTCAGTGCTTCAAAAAATACTTATTATAATGGTTCTATGACATATATAAGATATATGTTAGGGAAGTGGATGTTCTTCACCCTACAACTCCCTACTAACCCCATCCCACAGTCCCTATACACCACCCCAACACAACCCTGAGAAATATCCCGCGATTTTCGGCGTCATCCCCAGACGAGGCACAATTTCCATCTCATTTGTCAATTAATTGTGGTGACCGTTGGGGTGAGACGCTCACTGGGCGCCGAAGGTGAGTGAGGCGTCGAAGACTGAGCTGTGTGAGAGAGAGTGAGAGAGAGAGAGAGAGAGAGAGAGAGAGAGAGAGAGAGAGAGAGAGAGAGAGAGAGAGAGAGAGAGAGAGAGAGAGAGAGAGAGAGAGAGAGCAGAAACCTGAATACTAATTTTTTCAAACTTATTGCCTGAATATTAATTTTTCAATCGTCGTAACACAGCAGTCACGGGCGCCGCAACACTTGGGTCACATTTGGCTTTTTCACTTACCAACAGGGATCAAACCGGAGGGAACCGTGCTCTGTGGGCTATGCTGCTTCCCATACACTAACCCCACCACAACCCGCCGCCTATTTCGATAGAACTTCTCTAGGTAGGTCCAAGTTGCTCGTGCCGGCCGTGTGTCTCAGAGCAGCTTAGCTTACTGGGCCAATATTGCGAGCCTCGCAATTGAGACTGATTGCATGTTGTTGTTGTTATAGATTCAGCTACTCGGAACAAGTTCCAAGTAGCATGGACTATGGTGAGCCCGTAACTTTGGC